TGATAGAGTAAATAGACTAGAAGGGCAATTTCCGCCCTCTAGTTCGCTATATGTGGTGCTTGGGCAGTGTGGCTAACCAAAACGGGTGTATATAGTTTTAGGTAGTCTATTCAAGGTACTGGCCAATAGTTTAGTTGGGATTATTGTAAATGTTGTTAAATATATTGTAGTTGGTGAATTGGTTAACTTGTATGTCCTACTAGAAAGTTAGAGCTCTGCTGTCTGGTGGGAGTGTAAATTGTGTGTATAACTGTAAAATAGCGCACGGTACCATAACTACTGACATGTACCATAACCACTGACATTGTGTAAAAATTACTAACAATTGCTGTTTTATGTTATATGTATAATATCATAACTGTTACTAACTGATCTGTGACTTTAAAACTGTATTATAACCACTTACTAACTGTACCATAACCACTGACTGTAAAGATGAGGTTACTAGAATGTGTTATAGTTGGTTAGTCAAAAGTTGATTTATAGTACAGATAATTGTAGAGATGAATTTGTTGAAATGTTATGTGATCGGTTAGTTTATATGGATTAATAGCGTGGATAGTTGTATGGTTTGAATAATAGTTACATTGATAAGTGTATAGTCTTTGGTGGGTTTTTGATTTAATTTCGTGTGTGCGACGTCGTGATATTGTTGAGCATGTGAGGATCCTGTGTGTGTGTTTGGCCCTTTGTGACTGCGCAATGTGTTGCTGGTGATAAGGAGATTGGTGTGACTGTTGAAACTGTGTGTATATTTGTACAGCTTTTTGAATCAGACGTTCTGTTGAAATAATCTGATTCACTTGGCTGTTAGTCTTTTGTCTTGTATGTTTAAAAAAAGAAAAAAAAAAAAAGTAGGGAGTAGCTTGTCCTGGTGGCCGCATGGCCTCCATGTAGCAGTCTTCACTTAAATTTAGTGCAGGGTGTACATGTGGCTGTAACTAGTAGGCTGGAATTCTATGATCAGTTTCTATAAATTGACTGTTGGAAACTGATTGTTGAAAATTGCCTTGGTGAATTAAACTGTGTCATATGGGAAACAATGTAGCCACATGGTGGTCAGAACTAAGGACTTAATTACAACTGCTTTGGACATCCCCTCCCCCCCCCTGGCATCTGATTACCAACCCCCCAAACATCCTCCAGAGCTAGAGTAGCCACGCCCATTTCTGGCTGGTATAATCAGTATTTGCACTCTCCCTGCTCTACTGTCCCCGCCTACCCACATACCTATCTGTTCCTGTGTTTCAAACTCTTGTATTTCTGTACTACCCCTCCCCCTAATCAATGATCAATGGTATAAGATGGTATATTGGTTTTTTTTAGTTACTGGATGGGCCCCTCCC